ATATATATATATAYATATATATCTTTATATAAATATATTTTGCAAAAATAAATTTCAACGATAGAAATCAACTGTTGACAGTTTAGGTTTCCATCAAAGAGAATGCATCCCCGATCATTCACTTTGTCCGACAAATGGGCTGATCCTGTCACTATGATCACCCATTCAGATGAATTCTCAGACTGTCCCAACATACACAGGTTTTGACCCCCTCTAAAGATCTCACTGATTGACATATCAAAGACAGCCCAATCCGACACACAGTGCAGTACCATAATCGAGTCTAGGGGTCAGGTGTAACATTCCAATTTTGCCCATCTATCTCTAAGGTCCAGGGCAATACTGAAATTTTGGTTCGATTCAAGGTTTTAAGAAAATCCACACTGTATGTACCTCAGGTCTCACCTTGGCAGTTGAGACAAACCACCCCAACCAACTTGGCGATACATCAGTGTCAGACTTGGTARGATAAATCTTCCCAGATCTATCCAACGACTGTGAAGATTCTAAACTAACACGAGTCTCATAAGTGTCCAGTTTAAGGGTATTACACAGAAACACACCACAATGACATAAATTAATTATATACTTTATTCATTTACAATAAATGTCAAAAAGTACATCAATCTGATTGGAGCTAAGGGCATAATTGTCTAACATAGCATGCACTAGAAAATTCTTTAACTCTACATCAAATTGAAATAACTTACTGTTAACTCCAAATCTCAGTTTTCATGAATTTCTATACAAGATATTCCTCAAAAAATYGATGTTAGCTTCAAAGAAAGTAAATTCACATCAAACTTTGCATACAATTGAAATAACTTGCTGATAACTCCATATTTGAATTTTCATGAATCTCTATACTAGAAGTTCCTTAAAGCTTCAATCTTCAACCATCATCAAACTATCCCTAAATTCCTTCTCTACCAAAATCTAGAGTTTAGGTTTGCCACTATTCACCTTATCCATGCAACTACTTATGTCACCTACATGAACAATGATTTTAGCAGATTCCATGGTCAATCAGTATGTGTTTTCGATTCTTCGATAGCCCTTCTCTGCTTTGAAGAAGAGAAGGGAGAAAAGAAAGGAGAAATAGAGGTAGACAGAGAGAATAGAAGGAATAATTGAGTTGGCTAATCATGCCCAACTCAACTTTATTGTTTGTATGAATTACAAGTGATGTGTGAAGAGTGCCCTTTTTACACAATTACACCACACCTTATATTTCTACAATAAGCAAACATTATAAATGATGAAAGAAAATGAAAAGCTTATAAAAAATTCAACCCAATTTAATGCAACATTAAAAGCCTCACTAAATTGTTCTCCATTGCATGTGCCATTGCTTTCAAAAGTAAAGAAACTAGCGGCAGTGTTCAGGCTACTGCCAAGATGGTGGTTCAATGGTAGAAAAAGAGGAATAGAGCTTGGTGACTGAGCTCGATTCATTAATATGTGCAACCATCAGTCCTGCAACATAGCAATAAATTAATGTTAGTTGAAGTAATTTGATTTGTATCATGTTATAAAACCAAGGGTGGCAGAAGGAACTAAAATTCATTGACAACCATATCCCCCAATATGCCTAGTTTTGTGTGTTGTGGCACACATTCCACTATAAAGACAAGTAACTAATTGAAAATTTGTATATTGTATATTTAATGTATTGTCATCTAAGAAACCCTTGCAGACATTTCCCACACGCATTTGCTTTTCAGCAGTCCTTTCAAGCCTTATAATTAGCACAATATTATGGTTAATAATCTAATAAGATAAATAGAAAACACATATAGTATAGAACTTTGTCTTCTAGTACTTGAAATTCAAAAAAGAAATCCACAGCCCATTGTTGGCAAAAGACTGAGAACTGTACTAACATTGACTTACAAGGGCATTTGTATATATTCCTACAACATGTTCATGTCAGGCACATAGGTTTATCACGTAACTGAACACCTGTGGTGCTGCCAAGATGTAGATTGCAATATAAACCCTAGAAAGCAGGTTAATAACCCCATGTGAGCATAACCCTCTGAGCAACCTGTTCATGCAGATTGCAATACACCATGATCCCCCAACCCCATATCCTATTCGCACAATAACCATCTGAGCATAACCCTCCACCTTAACATTAGAGATGTCAATGGAGTGTAACAATCTAAACATTTTAACAAGAGCCAATAACTCAGCTTTAATAAAACATCCTCTTTGATGAATGAATGGATTGCTAAATCCTATGATCATTGAATCAATCTATTTTGTAACCCAAGAGATTTCTAAGTTGGTCATTGTTGAGATTTCATGATATCATAATCTTAACAAAATGGTAGCATACCAAACTCTTGAAGTTACAAATGTCTCAAAAACCATTAAGTAGCCTTGAAACACATCTACTAGTTAATAACAAAGTTGCAAAAATGAAAGGGAAAGACCAAAAACAAGAATATTTTCGTAAAATACAAATCCAACAACAATAATCCAGAATTAAGAGGATAAAGGACAACTAAAAAAGAATTCAAGCACTTTAGGAAGAAGCCAACCAATACTAGGAGAAGACATCCAATAATGTTGAAGGAGCCGATTGCCCACAAATTGTTAACAATGTTGCAAATGAGACCTTATGATCACCATCCAGGGTTTCAGATTCTAATATCAGAGATAGATTTTTTAAGCCTTTTCCAATATCTTCACAGTTGTCATCACCCGTACTCAGACGTTCCATGTGTGTCTATCAGCAAGTATGCCCTTCAACCACATTGTTGGATATAGAAGGCAAATCTGAAGACGTATCAGGAGAAACCTGTTCCTAAGTTGTAGAGTTGGAAACATCACTGCAAATTGATTCCATAGGCATTACTAGAGTTTCCAAAATCTTAGCTAAGGAACTAGAAGGCCCACAACTGTAGTTAAGCTTCTTGGAGATTAGCCATTTCTCTAATCTTGAAGACAAATGTGGTAAAACAACCTCACTACTTCGGATTCCCATGACCCATGTATCCAAGTGCTTTGGTGAGGGACTTTCCTTCAACAGCTCAAAGGAATCAACCTCTTGGAAGTATGCCCGCTCCTCAAATTTGGTGGTTGTACAGTCGTTTTCTAAAGATAACAGACAGAAGAAAGTCAAGAAACAAATTAGAAGATCATATCAAAGAAATTTAATTATAACCCAAGCATAAAGGGATAACGCCCGGAAATTTCCCCATTCTTAATCACAAAGGGAAACCCAAGCTCGAACGAACAGAGGTTGCCCAGAACGTTACCTTCTCTTCTCTTCTCTTGCTCGAAGGAATAGAGATCGCCTAGAAAATCACACAACCCTAGCTCTAAATTGTCCAGAAAATTGCACAACCCTAAATCGCCCAAAAAGTAACCGTAGCTCTAAATCGCCCAAAAAATCATACAACCCTAGATTTTCTTCCCAACTTTCTTTCTTGTGAAGAATGACTTGTCTTCTTCAAAATTTCTCTTCAAGGTTCTTTGCTGTAAACCAGAGGACCTTTTGTGTTGTCGAAAGGGAAGGAGAATTTGCCGGGAGAAGAATTTTTTTGTCTCCCTGCATTTCTCCACACCGATCTGTTATAAAGTTAGACCGGTTTAATTCCGGTTCACGTTAAAATCCATTGAATAACCTCCACGTTAGCTTTTAAAATCAATGTAGGCGGCGGTCTTTTAAAGCCTGCCACCTCAGATATCCCTATAGCAGCGGTCACAAAGACCGTACAGGCCATTTTTCTTGTACTGTACTATGGTTACACAACACTTACTTTAACAATTTTACCTTCTTTATAATGAATCTAAACTTCAACTACGAAGGATTTTTTTTTGTTTGAAGTGTGGCAAGTTACGCCACTTTTAGCACAAAGAGAGAGAGAGAATAAAATGGAAGAAAATAACCCATCTAACTAGTTAAACATGTATTCTAGAGTAGAGAAAATGCATAGTTATTTCATTCATTTGATGACTATTTATAGGTAGATGCAAGTGTATAACTAATTCAGACAATTGGGACCACATGGCTAAACGACAGGAAGATTTGTTATAACCAACTGACTCAGTCTTGGCTAACACCCCTCCCTAAGTTGGATTGGGGATGGAACTATGCCCAACTTTGGTAGCAATTGGTGAAAGCAATCAAATCCTAATAACTTGGTGAAGAGATCAATAGGCTGTTGAAGTCCAAAAATGCGGAACATTTGAATCTCTTCTTGTTGAATATGTTCACCTACAAAATGATGGTCAATGTCAATATGTTTTATTCTTTCATGGAATGTTGGATTTGTTGCAATGTAAATGGCATCCTTATTGTCACAATAAAGTTGCATTGGTCAAAAGAGAGTGATTGTGAGGTTAGCAAGGGCTATCTTAAGCCATAGTAACTCAATGGTGAGAATAGCCATTACCTGATACAAAGTTTCAGTAGAAGATCGAGGAACTATGTGTTGCTTCTTGGTCTTTCATAAGATGGGATAAGTCCCTAGCATGGTAATATATTTAGTAGTAAATCAACGAGTTAGAGGGCAACTGGAAGCCTCTAAGAATGAAATCATTTGCGGATGGCAATAATAAACCATATATTAGTTTGTCCTTAAGGTATCGCATCATACGAAAATCAGCATCAAGATGCTCTTGGAACAATTCCTGCATGAATTGGCTGAGATAGTGGACAACAAAACTCAACATAGGCCTATTAATGGTAAGGGAAACAAGGTGGCCCACCAATTGTCTATAACAAGTTGGATCAAATAGAAATGGACTAGAGTCATCAGTAAGGTGTTTCTGTTCCTCTATTGGGGCTAAACACAATTTGCACTCTTGCATGCCAGTCCTGGTCAATATGTCCATTATATACTTGTATTGATAGAGAAATATGCCTTCATCAAATTGAGAAATCTCAATGCCAAGAAAGAACTTTAAGGGTTCAAGGTCCTTAGTCTTGAAACAATCATTAATGTAGTTTTCGAGAGATGCAATGTGGGCTGGATCATCCCTGATAATGATCAATTCATCAATAAAGGAAAACAACAATGTAAGAGTTGAATTGGTGAGAAGTGAATAATGAATAGTTACCAATAGATTTCTTAAAGCCAATAGCAATGGGGGGCTTGAGTAAACTTGAAAAACCACTAACAAGAAGCCTCCTGCTTGAGGTCATATAGAGATTTATTTAATTGGAAAATGTGATGGTCCCCATCTGAGAGCAAATTGAGAGGTGGGGCCATGTATACATCCTCATGAAGGTCCCCATGTAAGAAGGCATTGCTGACATTGAGTTGATGTAAATCATGTTGCTTAATAGTAACTACTACAATTAGGCACCACATAGTGACCATTTTTGCAACTAGGCGAATGGATTATGATAATCCAAATCCTTAACTTGGGTGTAACCCTTAACTTTGTATCTATCAATTGATGCATTGACCTTTAATTTGTTTTTGTAAACTCATTTGCATCTAATCGGTTGCTTACCGATTGCTGGACCATGTCCAAGTTCCATTATGATCTAAGGCAACCGATTCTTTTGACATGGCTCGCTACCAACAAGGATCCTGTATAGCTTAATGGTAAGAGTAGGGTTCAGGTGGTAATGTGGTGAATGTGATTATTGCCTGATGGGAAGAAATTGATGATGGAATGCACAAACAAAACCACGTAGATGGGATGGTATTTGGTGAGTACGAATTGGCCTGTCAAGAATAGGAGGCCCCTTAGGATTGTCTAAGGATACAAGAGAGGAATCATTTGTATTGGGCACAACATCAAGCTCATTAATTGGATCATGTGATGTGTGAGGGTCTGTGGTATTATGCCCATATTGAACATCAACGAAACCAAGATAAGAATCAACCAAAGTTGTGCCATCACATAATCATTAGGAGTTACCACAAAATCCTCAACAAAGTGTTGGACTGAGAAGGGGAATTCTTCTTCATGGAATATAACATCGTGGGAGGTAAAATGCACTCAATAGACCTTTTATCCATAAGGATAGCCAACAAAAATGCAGCAAACATCCAAAGTTGCAAACTTATCATGAGGTTGTGGTCAKATTTGAGCATAACATAACCAATCGATCAAACACCCAGAGATGGCTATAAGTGGGCAACTTACAATGCAACGTGAAGCACGAGCCACCTTCAACACATGATGAATGGTGAACAATGCCATATTGGGAAAAGAAGTTTTACATGGGCCCAGAGAGGAATTCAAAACCATTATCAAATCAGGCCTGGCGTATAGTTTGTTGATATTGTGTCTCAACCATTAAATAAAACAATGTAAAAAATGGTAAACTTCGGCTCAGTTTGGAAGGAGTACAAATGCAAATATGTACAATACAAATACAAGGTTTTGCACTCTACATATTTGTATTTGTACTCCTTACAAATTAAGTCTTCATATTTGTTATTCATTGGTGTAGGAAGGGGTAATGTAGCCTCCCTGACACAGCGTGGAAGCAATGAGAACCGGAGCTGGCTATGCAAGCACCGGGCGCTCGCTAGCACCTAGCGAATAACACCGATTTCTCTAGGAGAGAGAAAAGGTGGCAAAAACTCAAAGAAGAGAACTCAAGAAAACCTGAAAATCTGAAGTATGAATT